GTACCTACTATGTGCCAGACACTGTGCTAAGTACCTCCTAAATATCTAGGTGCTTTTATCATCCTCATTTTATAGTTGAGAAAACTGAAGAAGACAGAGATTAAATGATTAGCCCAGGATCACACAGTTAAGATGTGTCTGAGGTTGGACTTGAACTCAGGTCTTACTGATTTCTGGCCCACTGTCTTATACACTATAGTTATCCCTACAGTATTTGAGAGTTGGCAAGGACCTTTAAGGAAAGCTAGTCCAGACTCTACAACTCAGAAAGAGTGGCCCAGAGAACTGAAGTCACTTTCCCAAGATGACCATGTCTCCATGATCTCCCTTCTCTTCTGCCTATTTTCACACATGACCATAACTCTCTTCCTCCTGCCTAGGGTCAGGAAGGGACAATCAGCTACATTGTGGGAATGTGAACCAGACTCTCTGGACAACAAGTTGCTCCCTTTCCCAATGTGAATAATTACACGCAACAAAGACTTTAAGGAGATTAGAAGGCATCGGTCACATGCTACAAGGGTGGAGTCCATACTCCATAGGAGTCTCCCCTCTCCCAGCACAAGTGCATCCAGGGTAGACTGTCCACTGTGCCACCCATGGCTGACCTCAATGAAACTGACCCAAGAAAAAGAACTCTTAATTATAGCTCTGAATATAGTAGTCACTGCTCAAGAAAAGGCATATTTTTAAAGAACTGGTCCTGTTCAGAACATCATAGTCTGAGTGCTGAATATGCTAACTTGTTCCTTCTTACTGCTTGTCTGTTGTTGTTTGTCCTTCATTCTCAAAGAGGACCATGACAGCAGGAAGGTGATGCCATGACTTGCAAGTGAACTGGCTTTCAGTGAGGCAGCTGCAAAGTCACCAGCCTCACTGTCTCCTCTGGAGCCATCTGGGTCCAGTGGCAAGATATAGATCAGGATGACTGGAGATGGCCCCAGATGCAGACTACTTGTCTAATTGAAAACAGAAGGTTAAATTTTATATGACCTTCACATAGGAAAAGCGCTCAAAGGTTTTTCTAATCCAACCTAGACTCAGAAAATGAACCCCTACAATACCCCCCAGCAGTTGGTAGTTGATATGGGTCTGTTTGTTTTAGATTTAAATTCCCATTTGAGGAAGAGAAGAGAAGGGGGATGGTACAGAGGAAGACAGCATGTCTGAAATGATTTTACAGTTAATGTTTTATTAGTCAACAAGCATTTATTAAGCACTTGCCATGTGCCAGACACTGTGCTAAGTGCTAGGAACACAAGTATAAGCAAAAAAGAAAGACAGTCCCTGCCTTCCAGGAGTTTACATTCTAATGGAAGGAAATGATACATAAGAGGAAACTGAAAAGAGAGCAGTTGAAAGGGAAGGTACCTGTGTGGAAACATGGTGGTGGAGGTATCTTCTAGGATAAGAAGGCTGCTGGAACATGATGGAAAAAGCAATCTAGAGAGTCAGGACCAGAATCAGGAGAGGAGTGGAGTGACCATGGCTGGCCTGGGCACTTCCTTAAAAGGGAAATTCCAAGATGAACTCACCAATCGGAAGGACAGAGAGATCTTCGAGGGCAATCAGACTGGTTCTATCCAATATTTGACTTGATTGAAAACATGCTTATCATATTTGTAAATAGAATAAAACTAGGTGGAATGGTTAACCGGATAAGAGAATCAAGGAAATTATAGATTTGGAAAGGACTTCATCTAGCCTGACCTCTTTCCTGAACAAGAACCACCTCTACAGTATTCCAAACAAATGCTCATCCAGCTGCTTTCTTTGAAAGGAACTGAAGGGAAAATTCCAAATTGTTCCATTCCACTTTTGGAGAACACTAATTGTTCGGCACTTTTTCTAACTTCAAGGTTCCATTTGCCTCTTTGTAACTCCTCCCCATTGTTCCTAGTTCACCTTATCAAAGCCCCATTGGCATTCTGTAGATAGATAAATAGATAGATAGACAGACTGACAGACAGACAGGTAGATAAATAGATAAGTAGATAGGTATGTGGGTGGGTAGGCAAAGCATTTATTAAGCATTTATTATGTGCAAGACACTGTTCTGGTGTTAGAGATACAAATACAAACAAGCAGGACAGTTTCTGCCTTCAAGGAGCTTACATTCTAATAACAGGTGAATTGAAGTTAGAGGGACTGACACTACCCACACAAAGGGTATGGTGAGAAGACTGCCAGGGACTGTTATAGAGGCCTGGACCTCCAATAAAATAAACAGAAACTCACCTATCAGAGTCAAGAGACAGAGTCTAAAGTTCTGGCAGGAAGCAGGTGGAGATGGTGGACCAAGTAAAGGAAACACGGTGAGGAGACAGTCAAGAAATGATAGAGATTTCTCTAAGTTCGATTTTTCAATTAATTGTGGACAATACTAACTTGAGTTATCTTTCCTATCTTTCCCACAAGATAGGACTTTATGTAGCTCAGTCTACTCCACCATGTCTCTGTTCCATTGACTCCTTAGAATTCCCATTGTTGTATCTGCAGGGAGTGTAAGAGCAATTCCAGTAGGTTACTGGGTGTGTGCTCAGTTGATTGTATGATAGTTTCCCATTGTCTTTTGCTATAGGGACAGACAGCACAGTAATCAGCAATGGTGTGTCAACTCCAGAAATCCTGCCTAGTAGCATGTCAGCCTTTGGAATTCATCAGCTGTATTTTATCAAGGTCATTTAACTATGACAGGAGGCTTCCATGAACAATATCTCCCATCTCTCCTGGGCTAGACAAAGTCGCAGGAATGTTTATTAATTCCAGCTCAATGTGGAAAAAATACAAGATATATGGGGTTGTGGGCTAGCTAGGTGGTGCAATGGGTAGAGCACTGGGCCTAGAATCAGGAAGACTATGTGTAACCTCTGTGGCAAATCATTTAACCCCTATTTGTTTCCGTTTCTTCATAAGTAAAAAGAGCTGGAGAAGGAAATGGCAAACCACTCCAGTATCTTTGGCAAGAAAATTCCCAAATGGGGTCATAAAGAGTCAGACATGACTGGAAAACAACTCAACAATGGAACTGTCTCCTAAAGAAAAGATATGCATCCTTAGGGGACAGAGGCATAATTCCTTTGAGAGCTAAGGGATTTCAAAATTATGATTTGACAAAAAAAAATTTCATCTCATTCTGTTTTTGTTGTTCATCCTACATTCTTGAAGAAGAGGACCATGACATCATGGAGGTGATGCCATGACATGCGAGTGAATTGGATTTAAGTGAGGGAGGGCTGTGCAAAGTCACCTGCCTCACTTTTTCCTCTGAAGACATCTAGGTCCTGTGGCAAGATATAGATCAGGATGACTGGAGATGGCCTTTCATCCATTCTAATTCAAGTGATGAGACAAACCCCAGGAGTTCTAATGCTCCCAGGCTTAAACTGGAGGCTCCAAAATTATATTTGATCCTAAGAACAGGCAAATGGTGAGTGCTGCCAGGCTACAGGGAACACAAAAAGCCTCCAAGGCAAACAATGATGAAATGTCAACCTTGTGTAGCATCGATATGTATTGATATGTAAGGTCTATGCAATGAACAGTGGTCTAAAAACCAGCTCAAATTCCAAAGCAAAGATAAGAAATCATTGTTGGTTGGTGATCATTTAACAATTCAGGTAATTCCTTGTTATCACAAATGCCATTTTTGTCTTGTGGAACACTCATGATTAAGATGAAATATTATCAACATGAAAGCTGAATCTCGTGATAATAGCCCCTTTGTTTTACTGAATAAAGAAGTCCTCTTTACTTCTCCCTTGACCCAGGAGACCATGGCCAAACAGGTTACAGTCATTGGAGCTGGAGTGAGTGGCCTAACTGTCATCAAATGCTGCTTAGAAAAGGGACTGGACTTAGCTCTTCTCAGCAATGCAAGGATCTAAGACAACCCCAAAAGACTCATGATGGAAAATGCTATCCACATCCAGAAAGAGAACTATGGAGTCAGAAGTGCAGATTGAAGCATACTATTTGCTCTCTTTTTGTTGTTGTTGTTTCTTCTTCTTTTTTTTTTCATTAGGCAATGGGGTTAAGTGACTTGCCCGGGGTCACACAGGTAGTACGTGTTATATGTCTGAGTCCGGATTTGAACTCAGTTCCTCCTGAACCCAGAGCTGGTGCTCTATTCACTGTGCCACCTAGCTGCCCTGTTGTTTCTTCTTTCTCATGGTTCTTCCCATTGGTCCTAATCCTTTACAACATGGCTAATGTGAAAATATGTTCAATATGAATGTATATGTAGAGCCTATATCAGATTGCACGCTGTCTTGGGCAGGGGAGAGTGGAGAGAGAGTAAGAAAATTTAGAACTCAAAATCTTATGGAAGTGATTATTGAAAACTAAAAATTAATTAATTAATTAATAAAAAGAAGAAAAATTATAAGTTATAAGAAAAGAAAAAGGGTTGGAACTCACCTGCTTCTAGAAAAGTGATGACATTGAAGGACTGTGGAATTTTAATGTGGGGCTTCTCCCCAAACATGTTAGGCATTATAGCCAAAGGAGGTATTGAGATCTCAACAATGTATTGATAGAAGTTTCATGTCTAGATGGAGGAAGGTGATGGATCCATTCTTTTTTACCCCAGACAGACCAAATCTAAAGTACCATGGCCTATTTTTGACATGGTGTTAGAGAGAACATTGACTAAGATGATGACATGGAATCATGAAATAAGATGATCAAAAGAAAGAATCTGGAAAAGAGAAGATTTATAGGAAACATTCAAGTTGTCTTCAAAACTTTGAAGATTGTTATGTGGAAGAAAGATTAG